GAACACCACCTCGGAAGAGGAGATGCAACGGAGCATGGACCTGTTCTCCGCCGTCTGCGAGAACTTCGTTCTGGTCATTAACAAGCAGAAGACGGTGGTGATGCACCAACCGCCACCTAACTCAGCCACAGCTCACAACGCGTCGCCGCAAATCAGCGTGAACGGAACCCAACTGCAAGTGGTGGAGAAGTTGCGGTACCTGGACAGTACTCTCTCCCGGAACACCAAGATCGGCGACGAAGTCGGCAACAGGATCTCGAAAGCCAGTCAAGCCTTTGGTCGCCTCCAAAGCACAGTTTGAATTCATCACAGTCTTCAGCTGAGCAAGAATCTAAAGATGTACAAGGCCGTCATCCTGCCGACACTACTGTATGGAGCGGAGACTTGGACGGTGTACACAAAGCAGGCACGTTGTCTGAACCACTTGCACCTCAGTTGTCTTCGACGCATCCTGAGGCTGAATTGGCAGGATCGCATCCCCGACACTGATGTGCTGGAACGGACGGGATTCCTCAGCATCTACTCCATGTTATATCAAATGCAGCTGCGTTGGAGCGGCTACCTGGTGCTCATGGACGACGAGCGACTATCCAAACGATTCTTCTACGGAGACGTCGCGACGGGTTCTCGCCACCAAGGAGGCCAAATTCGCCGATACATGGATACTCTGAAGTCCTCAATGAAGCGTCTGCAAATCAACCCGTCCAACTGGGATGACCTGTCCCAAAACCGACCTAAATGGAGGAGGACAGTTAAGACAGGTGCTGCGATCTATGAAGCCAACCGCATCGCTGCCGCCGAAATGAAACGTTAAGCACGCAAATCAAATCTGCGCAGACGCACAAGCGCCTCCAACGGGTCCTCGATTTCAACAGACAATCCGCGCACGAATTCTACTTATTGTACACCTCCGGATGAACTGCACCTCTCGGACCGCACCAAGCATCCTTCCCCCTCCCCTTCCTCGTTCTCTCCGCGTTCAACTAACTCTGACAGCTCTTCTGAACCGTCACTTTCATCCTCCTAATCCTCCTCCTACTTCTCCTCCTTCTCCTTCTGTTCCTATCTTCTTCTTCCTTCTCCTCCTCCTCCTCCTCCTCCTCCTCCTCCTCCTCTTCCACTGTCCCATCGACGACTGCTCAGGCGGTCGTCAGGCACATAAACAACCCTGATACAACAACCGACACCACATCCCCTGCCTCCGACTCCATCGAACAGGATCAGGTCTGCACCTGTCCTCACTACGATTGCACCTTCACCTCACACTTCGGTCACTTGCGAGTCCACCTCACAGAGTCTGGCGTCCCAGTGCCTGGAGCACCAACCTACACCCACCGCACTCGCCTCCCCTGTCTAAACGGTCCTCGCACCTTCCGGCATCGCATGGGTCTATTCGACCACATGCGCATTCACGAGAGCAGAATTGGCCGCATCCTCGACACACCTACACCGCCGAGCCCCACTCCCAATTCATCGCCTATTGCACACACCAAACTCTCCGCAACCGACGTCGACGCCACCGACTTTACCACACCTCATTCCTCCCCTTCCTACTACTCTTCCTTCTTCACTGGCACAACGACGTCTGTCGCGTACGACAACGGATGTTAGGTCCAGGACTACACCTGCCCTCACTGCGATCGCACCTTCACCTCACGCATCGGCATGGTCGGTCACTTGCGAATCCATCGCACAGAGACTGGCGAACCAGTGCCTGGAGCACCAACTTACACCCACCAAACTCGTCTCAGCTGCCCACACTGTCCTCGCACTTTCAGGCACCGCATGGGCCTATTCGGTCACATGCGCATCCACGACGACCTGCGGTAGACAACCGCCGGCTACACCTTACATTCACACACTCCCTACCCTTCTCCACCATCACCACCACGCATAAACACTCACCCACCGCATGCACCAACTGCCACCTTCCACGCAAGTGGGAAGTGTGCATCTCGACTCGGTCCCCATGCGGCTTCGGCTGTACGGGTGACTTGAGTCCGAGACTATCCCGACACGTCAAGTGTCGTGGATAGGAAGGTTGCTGATCGACGCCCGCTCTCGGCCCACGCAGTTCGTCACGTTGTGTGTGTGTGTATTTTGTGGAGTGGCGGACTGGTGTGCTGGGTACGGGCTGAAGCATTGTGCATTGTGGGATAGTGAGATAGTGTGGTGCAGCCGGCGGTTGTCTTTTGCAGGTGTTCGTGGATGAGCATGTCACCGAAAAACCCATGCGATGAATGAAAGTGCGAAAGCAGTGTGGACAGTTAAGTCTAGCCGGGTGTGTATAGGTTGCTGCTCCAGGCACGGCTTCGCCAGTATCTGTGCGACGAATTCACAAGTGACCGACCAGGCCGATGCGTGAGGTGAAGTTGCGATCGCAGTGAGGGCAGGTGTAGTCCTGGTTCTCACCATGCGAATACGAGAAGTGCGTGTGCGTGGACAGTGTGGGTAGTTAAATTCGGTTGCGCCGGTGTCGGCTACGGAGGAGTTTTTGGTGTTGATGGGCGTACGGGTGGATGAAGCAAGGGTGCGGCTGGGCATGGCGGATGTGTCGAATGTGGTGAGTGTGTCGGGTCTGCTCTCAATTCTCGCTCTCTTTCATCACGGTAAGCGCCCATCAGCACGGCAGAAAACATAAGACTGAAGAGGGTAGGCGCCATCACGCATCCCTGCTTCACTGCGTTGGTCACTGCGAATGCCACTGAGACAGCTCCGTTGTCCGTGACTCGCGCCATCATACCGTCCTGCAGCTGACGCACCATCTGAGTGAATCGCTCCGGACAGCCGAATTTCTGCATGATCTTCCACAATCCTTCACGATTCACCGTTTCGTGGTCCCACGATGGCGATGGAAGCCGCACTGGCTTTCCGGCAGTAAACCATGTCCCAGATGGTTATTGAGGCGGTCGAGGAGGATGCGAGCGAAGATTTTCCCTGCGATGTTAAGCAAGGAGATGCCACGGTGATTGATGCAAAATAGGCGGTTCCTTTTTTGACTTTAGAGATGCAGGAGGGTTGCGTCTTTCAAGTCTTGCGGGACTTCGCCTTGACGCCACATCTCCTGGAAGAGCGCAGTCAGGTGATTCATTAGTTGGGGTCCTCTGTTCTTGTAGACCTCAGCGGGATTGCGTCTGATCCGGGTGCTTTCCCGCTGGAGAGTTGCTACACGGCCATGACGGTTTCCTGTAGAGATGGCGGGAGGTCGAGGTCCACGTTGGTCTCCACTTGCGTCAAACGGTCGATGGCGGTGACGGAGATGGCGAAGGGGCGGTTGAGGACGCCTCGGAAATGCTCCGCCCATCGCTGTAGAATTTGCGTCTTCTCAGTCAGGAGAGTACTGCCGTCGGCGCTGAGGAGAGGAGCAGTGTCCTTTATCGGCGGACCGTAGACAGCCTTGATCGCGGAGAAGAAGTTCTCCCATTCGTTGCGGTCCGCGTTGCCTTGGATCTCCTCAGCTTTGGGAGCAGTCCAGGCGTCCTGCATCTCGCGCATCCGTTGTTGAATGTGGCGGAGACTGCGGTAGAAGACAGATTCGTTGTCATCAGTGGGGTGGTCTACGTCGGCTTTGTGAAGGCGGTTCTTCTCGGCGAGCAGATTGCTGACGACGGCGTCGTTGTCGTCAAACCAGTCCTGGTGTTGGCGGCGTGCACTACTGCACACGGCCAGGACTTTCGCCTGGATTGTGTCCTCTCGACGGAGGCGTTCTACTCGTTGGCAGCGGCAGCAGCATTGGCGATTGGTAAGTTGTCTAGCCGTTGAGCTAGCTCGTTGCTAAGAAGGAGATGGTGAGCAAGCAAAGACAACAAGGCAATATTCAGCTTACCTGGGGGCTGTTTGCACTGACATCTCCTGCCAGGCCCATTGTCTGGAACTCGCGCCTTCATGCCACCGCGGGGCCGACGCATCATCTGACTTAATCCTTCTCACTCTCACCCTGTCGCTTACGCCACCGTCGTTTATCCTGCCCAAGATCAAACCATAAGCCTGTATTTTAACGAACCTTGTGCAGTTTTCAAGCTGTGCGATTCTGCCCAGTGTTTGCCCAACTCTGATCGACAACACACTCTACAGCAGACTTAGTGTAACGTACAGCCGCTGAAAGACAACAAGTCCCCACCGCCTTCTGGATCACCCATGGGTACATTGAGCTTAGGCAGAGGGCTAGCGTAATTCAGGGCGACAGTCGCTGTGAGACTGAAAAGAAGATCGAGAGGAGAGTGCGTCATCCTCTTCTTTCACGGAAATCGATGCCCCACCCTGATAACACTGAACGCGTGCGTGCCTGCAATCTGCACATACGAAACGCCACCCAGCCAGCTCCCTCCCTCCCTCCGCATCGGATCAGTAGATTTTAGTACAAATCAGAGCACCCAATGTGGCGTGATCTGCTCGCGTCTGTCACTTAGTTTGTGAATAATGAGGACAGGAGCCCTAATGCAATTAGTGCAACATTCGTAAGAGAATACATATCTGCAGGTTTACTACTAGCTCGTGGGGAATTTATCTGAATCGTCAGTGTTGTGCCACACCAGAAGGTATAACCACTGTATAGTCTTAAATTGCCTATCCGCCAGAACCTAGAGTCCCTTCAGTTTACAGAGTATATTTCCTAAAGTCATACGCATCCACGTTGATTGAATTGTCAAACTTCGGTGTCACGGTGGGACTGGAACCCACGACAGCAAGGGTTTAACTATGTCAAGTGATCCATATATCCTTATTTTGACTGGCAATGCGAGCCTATTGCAGATTGACCGACTATTGCCAATATTTCCGTATAAAACGCAAGTACACCGATCAGTTATTTTGATAGGCATATGAAATTCTCGACGCCTCGGTGGGGTATGAACCCACTACAGCAAGAGATGGCCTTACTACAGCCAACGCTCTAGCCTCCTGTGCTAAGAGGCTCCATCGGACGACGCTACAATTATCACATCTGCCAAAACACCCACGAATTACGTAAGACTCGTAGCCATCTGGTGGATTTAAGATGTATAAATTGGAAAATCCTGCTTGGAAAGTCAGCCTTCTTTATCAGATTTGGTGGATACCAGGCGTTGCATTAGATTGAGCGGATAAAAATGATTTAGATGTGATTAAACTCGCGTCGTCCGGTGGGGCCTCGTATCACAGGTAGCTAGAGCGTTGGGTGCACTAAGGCCTCTA